TGAAGCAGAAAATGAAGTCCTTGTGTTTGGTGTGCCATTACCCAGGAAACTGGTGAAGTTAGATTTTTAACTCTGAAAAGAAGGGGCAGAATTTCTCTTGTGTTTTCAGATTTGACATAGTCTGAAAACAAATTCTTCTGGGCTTTGAAAAGACAAGTTCGAAAGAGATGAAAGCCCCAAAAATCAAAGTTTGCAAATCATTCAAAAAGCAAGCTCATGCCACATGCAGATGTTTCACCTGAGGATTCTGGACAGTCATTCCTTGACATGTTGATAACTAAACAGAATGAATAAATCAGCACTACATTCATTCAAGACTCTTGATATTAATTCTTAAAATGTACTGACAGCAAGAAACACCTGATCCTGAGATACCACCAAAACTGTCTTCCAATAATCCTAGAGGAAGCAAACAGACAAAATACTGATGGCAGTCTAACACTTACTGAGAAGCAGATGGAGCTATGTTTTAAAGGCTGAACTACACTTCCCTGTTAAAACCAGTCACAAATGCATTATTTACTGCATCTAATTTGTTTAATTAAGCAAAGCTGTATTTCCCAGCTTATGAATCAGTGTTATATACATGCAATACAGTCAGAAAGGGGAACTAAATCACCAGTTTTACCATCAAAGCATCAGGCAGTCACCACTCATGCCAAAAGAGAACTAACACAAATGGGAAAAAAAATCCAGGTTAAGTCAAGAACGCTGGGCTTCGCTTTGGCTATTCCAACTTCTAGTGGCATCAAAGCATGAGCAACATAGTAGCTTCCAATTTTGCCAAATATTCTCCCAGTGAATTCTTCCACTGTAATCACACACATCAGTCACATATCAGAGTGAAGGATCCCTGCCTTCCCCCTGGGAGATTTTATGCCCCATTGCAGAAGACAGTTGGGAATAGACTGCCACCTCTCTTTGGGCACATTTCAGTTCTCTCTTCCCAGCCCTAGCTGATCAAGATAAAAAAAATTCATCTTAAAGCCATCACAACAAGCATCTAGTTTCTAATGTAACAGCAATGCAAATAAAGCCAGGCTTAAGCAGATCCTTCCTCACCACCTGTTGTAGAGAATTCTTGCTCCCTGGGGATTGCTGTGCATCTCAGGCATTAGGGGGGACATATCTCCCTAAATCTCGGCCACAGGCCATGCAGCAGCCTGACTGCCTCCAGGAACGGGAGACAAGCTATCCCAGAGCTCTGTGCCTGCACAACAAAGTTCAGTATTTGTATTATTTTGTGGCTAAGGACATAGCCCTGGAGATACTGGTACACTATTGAAACCCTTCCTTACCACACCATTTTGAACCCCAGATCTGCAAAAGTCTCCCTCCACCCCACATCTTACATTCCTATTTTCCCAATCCAGCCCTCCTCTCCACAGCCCCAGGATTTCATGCCCTCTGCCTCCTCCCAACACACTTCTCACTGCTCTGGCTTCCTACTATCTACTCCCACAAGTCTCACCTCTGCTTAGCCTCCTCTCCAGAAACCCCTGGCCTCAAAACGTTCCCGTTTTCCTAATCCACAATCCTGACATCCCGTGCGCACTACCCCCAACCTCTGTTCTCCCCGGGAAGTGCAGATTCTAGCACTGGCTCCATCACAGCCCAGGTTGCTGCAGAGTCCACGGTCCAAGTGCAGAAGCTGCTTTAACACTGGATGAAATGCATTTTTTTAACCACTAAATGGATGTATTCCTTTACAATGTACCCCCAGGCGACGTCTCAGTCACCCTCCTTCATGAAAGGGTGTATTACCTTGGATGGCATAACGCTTACTGTAAGACAAAGCTACTCTGCAAAACCTTGTTATTACACTGTAACTCACTAGTGTATCTACACCCAAACTACTCCTCACAGCACATGGGTCAAAGGCATTGTGTGCAGGCCTGTTACTTATCGTTACCCTAGGCTGGATAAAACTTCCTTTGCCCATCTTTTGGACTGAAATTTCATCTCATAGTCAGTATCAAAAATAAAAAAATCTGGTTCCCATAAAGCGTGGCCTCCCTTTCTAGACATGCCTTTTCTGTTGTTATTCCTTGCATTACTGCTGTTCAAATTAAACTAGCTAGGATTTGTAACTTTGACAACTGGACTACTGCATCCAGCTCTGGAGCCCTCGGCACAAGGACACGGAGCTGCTGGGGCGGGCGCACAGAGCCCACAGG